GTCATCTTGACGTTGAAATAATTGATACTTTTTTTCTTTCCATATATTTTGGCCAATTCGTATTTTCTTGATTTCCGGTGAAATCAAGAACATTTCCAACATATTTCAGTGGAATTTTCACTTTCAAAAAGTGTAGTTTATATGCAGAGAAAGGGGCGTCAACATAGATTCTAAAACACTAGAAGGACACTGGTTAACAAAGACCTGGAAACCAATATCGCCAGTGTGAAATCTGAAATATCCATATTATTAATTAAAATAAACGTTAAACTGAATTTAGTTTCTTGGCAAAAAACCGTTTTTCAACAAGTTCATAAACCCATACTACGAACAGAACTTATTTCACAATGTTTATTCAATGTGCTACTACAATTTGGATTGGCTGGAGATGTCGAGATATATATATATATATATATATATATATATATATATATATATACGCTAAAAATAGATAGGATACACGTTCGGAACATCTCATAGGATATTTTATAAAGTTACAATAATTGCAACGGCAAAAAATTTTAAAGGAGAAAAAAATGTTAAGAAACGCAGTTGTTTGGTGTTTAATATTGCTATACAAGTTATATAAGGCATGTTATTAAAAGTCTGCTATAAATCGATTACTAAATCGATATTTCAATAAAAATTCAAAGCTAGAAATTTCATCAACAGATGATTTAATTTTGTGGAAAAAAAAAAAAAACCCAAAACCAAAAAAATCGGTAAACAAAAATTGACTCAGATTCAAGGCGAGAGATTTTAATATAAAAAATGTTTGTGTGTCATCCATTGAAGCGACAGGAAGAAATAATGAATTTGTCAAACTATAAACTACGTCAATCCACATTGAGTGTCCTAAAATACTGCCTTTTTTCAGAATAAAAAAGAGCTTAATAATTAAGGAGAAGTCTTTAGTTAAGTGAAGTCTCTAGTCGTTAAAATCATAAGACATTCTTGTTAATACTTTTTTGAATTAATTTGATCGAAATATAGATTTTTTTTAAATTAAAGAAAAATATTCGCGGAAGAAAATTAAAATATGAAATACATTGTAGAATTACCAAATTGCGGTTCTGAATTTTTAGTTAATTCCTAATTTATACTTGCAGCAAGTGTAATCTAATTAAATTTATTATTTCAGACCATGCAATACATGCGTACGGAATATTTTTTAATATCATAGTGCTTAAAAAAAAAAAAAAAAAAAAAAAAAAAAATATTAATGAATTTCCAATTTCCATGTAAATACAAATAAATGTCTTAAAATATAAAAAAATATATATTTGAAGGTGTTTTATGAAAGTTTTTCAGAGCAGAAAAAAATGTATACTAGGTTTTATAAAGTCTCAATACTGTCACATAAATATTGAGTACCACTTGATAAAAAAAAAAAAAAAAATTCGGTATATATAATTTCATCCGCTTCAAAAGAATCTTATCAGCTGACTATTTTAATATATAATATTCAAGAAATAATTAGCCATGAATTTTTTCGTTTCACAAATTTTGCTAATCGAAACCGAATAGAAATTCTAGATCAATTTGTAAATATTGCATTTTTTTTCAAAATTACAATCATGAAAAATACTAATTACTAAATATTAATTCTAAGACCTAATCGAAATAGACAATTTTATTCATAATTTTTTAGGGACAGCGTTTATCTATGTTGCATTAAGTTTTGGATGAACAAAAACGCATTTTTACTAAATTATACATCGTGTGCGTTTTATTGTACGATATCTAAGTTTGAAAAGCGCTTTAAAAATATATATATATATCTGGCTATTGTAGCCACATCTTTGATATCGAAGATTGGAAAAAAATTCAGTGAATAGGATTTGCTAGGTTTTATTGACTCACAAAACAAAGGTTTTTGAAAAGGACTTTTTCGCCTATACGGTTTGCAAATCTAAATCACAATCACATACGGAATTTATAAAACAAATTCCTACATCAGTTTATTTTGCAAAAATCACATAAGTCTGAAATAATGAAGATAAAATGATTTCTGTGGTTCAAAGCTATGTTTTTAGTTGATCATATATCCGATGTTGTTTGAATAAATATTAGAAAAATATTTAAACTACAGTGTTTATGTCCATTGTATTTGGACTTAGCGGTCAACACGTCTAAAGTGAATAATGAACATATACTGTCAGTTTTAGGATAGACGAAAAAATAAATAAATAATCATTGAATGTATGGGCTACATTAAACATTTGAGCTATTACAAATGAAAATCCAATTGTAAATAAATAGCGATACCCTTGGGAACAAAAAAAATAACTCACAAAAATATTTCTAGTATAAGAAGAAGGTAACAGTTATATTTTAAATATAATTTTGTTTAATATATTTTTAGATTAGAAGAATCAAATGACATAATATTCATTTTTTTCGCGTATTTTAAGCAAAGAAATGATATTATAACCTTTACACAGGGTGATAGTGTTTGTTAAAGTTTAAATTAAAAATAAAATTAAGATACTGAAACTGCAGTTTCATAATATTCTATTTAAAAATAATATACAAAAACCATAACCACATGATGGAAAAATTTTTACAAGAATAAATATATATATATATATATATATATATATATATATATATATATATATATATATATATTAGTATTTATTAGACACTCAATTTTAAACTAAATATTTATTTATTGTATTTTGTTTATTTTTCTTTAAGATACCTCGAATATTCAGGCCGGTAGACGAAAATAAATATACCGTTTTAAAGAAAGATTTTATTTTCTACTCAAATATGTAGCCACTAACGTTTGTTTAAGTGATAAAACCCGTCGGTTTAATAAAAAATTCTTTAGAAGTGTGTGTATATATATATATATATATATATATATATATATATATATATATAGTCTAGTTTACACATACAAATAAGAGATGAAAGTTTTTCGACGATACAAAATAGTCACGATAATGACCCAGAATTTTGTTCAAAAAATTTGTTTCTATAGAATGAATAGAAGGAAGTAATTAATAACTTGACAAGAGATTTCGGTGATATTTTTTTTTCAGTGACACTTTGATCGAAAGTGCAATAGCCGTTTCTCTAAAATAACCGACTCATTTGCATAATTGAATTATTTCAGGGTTTTTGTTTAGTTTTTTATTTTACTTTACATTTTTTTGAAAAAACCTCCATCAACACTGAACGAATTCCACACATTTGTACTAAGATTTTTTAAACATTGTTTAGTAATCACAAAGTTTAATCTGAATGTTTTAGCAATTTAAAAAAAAAAAAAAAAAAAAAATTCAGTACAGATATGAATTTAGTCCGAATGTAAATAAAGATAAATTTTACACACTTGTGTATCCGTCAAATGCGACCTTAAGTTCAGTTTTTAAGCAGATCAAGTTGAATTAAGTTAAATTTTTCTAAAAAGTACTGTATTATTTACATTTCATATATGAAGCACTGAAGAAAGACAGTCGGATTAATAGTCACGTTACTCAATTTAAAACTATATATATATATATATATATATATATATATATATATATATATATAAAAAACAGATAAGTCATTCAAAATTATCTCTAATTCTAATTTTATTAAATAATAGACTTGATCTCTTCTCACTCGTAATAAACCAACAAATTAAATTTTGCTAAATATTGAAATTACGTTGTTTTTTTTTTTTTCGTACAGGTGCTGAAAGAAAACTCACCTTACGAAATTTAATTACTTGCAAATGGCGGATCGACTGATTTAATCCGGCGTCAATTTTATAAAAAATTTATAAAGAATTGACATTCTGTAATAAAACTAATGAACCACTTTTATTACTTACCCCCTCCCAGGTAATTCCCCACCAAGAGTCAAAGTAAATTAATTTGTTTAAGACATGCTTAAATCCTCAAACGACAATGAAAATAAAACCTTAAAAATGAAGTTACGAAATGTTAATTATACTAAAAATACATCGATAAAACATTTTTGGTGGAGTTATAAAATAGGCACATTTTTGTATTACTATAGGTTTTAAACACTCCAGTTCACGAATATAAAAATTTAAAGAAAAATCAAGTTTGCGATCCTAGTTCATTGTATTGATCCCTTCTATGGAAGCCAAAACAAAATATGCTCATATGTCCTGATGTTATGATTTCGTAAAGTGTAAAGTCGAAACCATTACACTACAGTCACTTACGTGCTAATACTCTTGGGAAAGGTTTTCTCCACCTAGCTATGGGTAAATAACAGGTCAGACCAGGTTCTATAGCTTTGGATAGCAACTAGTCTACCGCAGGACGAAATGGCAACCTACTGCGGGGGAAAAAAATCTGCCTCGTCAGTCATGTATCGACAGATACATGATCGCCTTAGCGTGTATCACACATGACTGAAGTGTAAACTTTTTTTCATTGATATTTACCAACCTACCCACGCGGTCAGATGTGGCACAAGGACGAATTTAATGTGGGGTATCCGAGCCCGTAGGCTCGGCCAAAATTCCCCGTCGTATGAAACGGGGTCGGGTAGCTGTTTCCCTAGAAGACTGCCGTTCGATATAGCCTCATCTGGGGATCCTCTCGGAGGCAGAGAGTTTGACCAGCACAGCTTGGAGACTAATCTCCAACTAATTCCCGAAGCAAGTCAAATTTTTTATTTGTTTTGAACTCTTAATTAGAAGTCCTTAATCGATAGTAATAAATATGGAAAAAAATCCAAAAGATTCAGATTATTAATTTAAAATTTTTTTACACTTTAAGAAAACACGTGGTATGAACAGATTTTGTTTTGGTTTGCGTAGAAGTGGGGGTGCAATTTACGATTAATCTACATAGAAAAACTGGACCCCTGTTGACTGATAAAATTTAAGAAAAAAGAAATTACATTCGTGATCCGAAGTACTTAACATGAAAAAAAAAGTTTATTGCAAATTGCAGTGCCTGGGAACAGTTTTTTTTTTTGTGGTGAGAAGTGGGGGTCCCTTTACAAAGAAAAAAAATATTACTTACTTTTGTCAAGTCCATCTTCCTCTCTGCAAGACGACGGTGTGGTCCCCGGCGTAGGAGGTGTGTTATGTAAACTGTCGCTAGCTACCGACGAAGAACACGGTAGACTGGTGTAAGTCGGTTGCAGAGACGAAGGGTTCGGCGGTTGATTTGGAGTGTTCCCGTAGATACATGACGGATTGTTGGATACGGACACAATGTGTGGTTCCACACCACCATTGGTGCCAGCAGTACCGACACCTCCGCCGCCGGCCTCAACAAGTCGGCCATTGTTCGAATTTGGTAGCGATTCCACATTGTAGCCTGACCCCAGCTGAAAGTTCATGCCAAAGTTGTTTACACCTCCGACTCCGGAATAGTTATCGAACATGTTCGACTGTTGTTCAGACCAGTTCAAAATGTCCTTCACAGAGAAAGGCGTCGAGTAACCTACACTAGGATACATGCCGCCTCCTCCGTCGTCTGCCTCCAGGTATCCAACCCCGTCCGTTTGTCGAAAGACGGATTGCTGGCTGATATCTAGCAAAGCCACGGTGTATAGTTGGGTGAGAAACTTCAAGATAAAGTCTTTTGGTAGTTATTTGGGTAGGGGACAAGAAAAAAAAAAGGGACTGCTTTTGCGCCGGAAATGCTGAATTCTCCTTTTAATGTACAATGAAACGATTAAAAAAAAAGAGGGATTTAGTTGTGTATGTGTTTGAAGTCGACGATCTTGTTTTCCCACAGCCAATCTCGTCTCGAAGTTTGGCGTTAATAACGTGAGATTTTATGTGGAGTTCCCCTCCACTGCTCAGCCTATGCTAAACAAAACAGGCGATTGCAGTTTTCTTTTCGTACTTTTAAATCTATCAACTTCGTCGTTTGTTATTTTTTACTTGTAAAAGTTAAGGTTTTCCTTAAAGTAAAGCCTATGACTTTTACAGCAAACATAAATAAAATGTATTTAGATATAAAATGACATCATAAAAAAAAATACCAAAACTTTTTATATTATACACTTATTACTTAAAGTTAAAAACAATAACACCAAGGTAAATATTCTTTCACTTTAAATATGTATTCGCTTTGTTCTCGATAAGTATTATTTAACTTCAGGATTTTGATTAGATAACAGTATAGTAATATTAAAGCTCTATATACATAATCAAAGCTTATGGAATGATACGTTTTACTCTTTAAGAGAAACGAGGAATAATGATGCTACTTACTTTTAGACTTTGTTCTTACCATAATTTCTTCAAATATACAAAAGTACAATCAGAAATTGTGGATCCGTAAAACGGCCAGTTCCTTAATGATTCGTTGATATATGTATTTTTTGAGGTCCGTTTTTTTTTCTTTGTTTTTTTTTTTTCCTTTTTGCCTTCCGATTCCGTCAGCGGTTAATGTTTCCTTTAGTGCAACGTTGTAAATAAATCCATTAAGTGTGTTTGTCCAGACGATGAAGCTTGATTTTTTTTTTTTTATCAAATTTTATAACGCGGTGAAGATGAAATTATTCGTCGACATTTTTGTGTGTGCCTGTATTTGCTCTATTCTTTACACAATTTTATAATATATAACAAAAATAGAAAATTCTGTGAAGGCTTACAAGCAACGGGTAGTGTAAAAAAAAAAAAAAAATATAGAATTTTCTTTTAACTTAAACTTTTTTTTTTTACTTAAAAAAAAAAAAAAAACTCGTTTTAATGATTGTAGAGGAGAACCAAGCCCGTGTCGACGCACAAATAGTGAGACTAACGGAAATGCATGTGTCTGTTTCGTGAATCTGACGTGCTCTCTTCTCTCTTAAACAGAATCAGAGGTAAGAGTACACACGTATTTGTGTATGATCGTATAAGTGTGTGCATAAATATAGACATATCAGTGTATGTTTGAGTGTTAGTGTTTATAATTATGTGGGTCACAATGTGTGCGTTTTTTAGTATATCTTGCTGACATTATTAGTAAAGAACAAGAAAGACGTTAGAAGTTATTATTTTAATTTTGCAGCCCGACTGAAAGATTTTCTCTCGTATAGGCTTATCATTTCAGATATCTCAATTAAATTTCTTCAAGACTTATCAAATAGCTATCTATTCTTCAATCTTTCTAATGTTATTCGAAGACAAGTTCATCTGTTTTTCCTTTTTTTTTTAACTTTCAACAATAAGAAAATAAAAATCAATAAAACCTACCTTAGAACAATTACGTACACACACTTTTCCCCCCGTCTTGTTTTTAAATGTATTTATGAGAATTTATATAAATAACGTATCTTTTTGGATGGTCTACAAGTGAGTATGAAAAGAAAACGGAAGAGAGACATACAGACAGATAAAATAGAAAGAAAGAAATTAAACAAAGTGTAAAGAAAAAAAAAAAAAAGAAAACAAATGATGCCTCAAGGGTGAATAGATATCATCGTAACAGAAATGCTAAACAAATAAATCTGATGGGCGAAGCGTGGAGCTAAAAATGAAGTATGTTGGTGAATGAGAAACCACTTTAGTGAAGCCCTTATCCAAAGTCCGACAGAAAACGCAAAGAAAGATGGTCGCTGGGCAAAATTAATTTACTTGTGTCTACTTTTCGGAAAATACACGATGATGAAGTAAAAGGGGTCAACGACTACTACCAACACACCCTTCTTACCATACACATTTTTTTTCAGTTTTTTTCCGTCTCTTTTGCGTTAGAAAACCACGCCCTAATCCCTAATTTGGCAGCAACACAGTCGTGATTGACTGTTCTTACTGCAAATAGTAAACAAGTATTTTTGTCAATGGGGAGGCGCTTGACAACTAATATGATTGCCCTTAAAGTCAGCTTAGCCTGTCAAAGTTTAAAATGGTTTGAGGTTTCATTGTTTACAATCAACCAATCAGAGGTAATGATACGTGATTTACATATTAAAAACGCCTTAAACTTGTGTTTATAGAGATGAAGTCATGTACGCACTCGTATGTATGTATGTATGTATGAGACGGCGGTATTTTCGATATATGCATATATATGTGTGTGTGTATATAAATCTGTATATATATATATATATATATATATATATATATGTATATATATAATGTGTTTGTATGAAAGAAAGGGAGATAATGTAATTATAGATATTTTATTGGTAAGTTGGATGTGCGTGCGCGCTAATATCGCTAAATGTATGTAAATATGTGTGTCAAATATTGGTTATTAAATGTAATGCCCCTCCTCCTCCCCCAGAGCGAAGGCGATCATGTCACCCCACAGATTCTCTTTCTTTTATTATCTGTGAATTACCATTTTACTTTTTAGGAAAGACATTGGAGTGGTTTCCCATTGATGTCTACACAGCTGTGAATTCAAAGTTTTCTTTGTCTTAGACTCGTTGCCACCCAAGTTTAAAGATCTCAGTCTACCTTGTTATTAAACGCATAGTTGGGCCTGTGGAAGAAGAGACTGATCCATGCTTTTCCGAAGGTTATTTGTGCGAAAGTGAACGCTATAGACTAGCTCTGAATTTGAACTCTGCTCACCAATTGCATTTTTTCGCACTGATAGCCGTTGCCCTCCCTGAGCATCCTGCGTTATATATTATCTACTTTGATATTGACCAGCTTTCTATTTCATTTTTTTTCTATGAGAAAAGAGATTGAGAAGCAATAGTGACGGTGATCGATTTTACAACTGATAAAAGGTATTCAGTAATTTTCTCATATTTATAATCGATTCGCAAAGCGTAAAATTCCAAACATTTATTTCTATAAATTAATATCATCATCATCATCATCATTGTCACCATTGTCGTCGCACTTTTACTTCAGTTCTCTTTTCTTAATAATAATAATAATAATAATAATAATAATAATAATATGTTCGCCTATTGGCTGGTTCACATACCTCCCCGGTCTTTTGAACAGGAGTAGAGGTTTATCCCTTGTTTTCTGTTTAGGATTGGGTTTCCAGTTCCTTCTAAAGTTTTTTCTTTCACTCTCAGTAGCCCCCTTGCGTCTTAGTGGCATCATTGCCTTGCTTGGGGTGAATTGATTAAAAAAATAATAATAAATTTTGCTGTTGCTATTGTCATTGTTTTTTTTTGGGAGGGGTTCATTATTTACTTAATTCTTTTTGTTTACTTTATTCTTTTGTTGTATTTTATTATTATTATTTTTATTTTCTTTGATTTCTGGCGTTTACACATTTCTTTCCGGGTCCCGCCCAGGGACCTAAGGTTAGAAATGGCATCATGACACTTTACACTGACAAAAAAAAAAAAAAAAAAAATTACATAGATAAAGCCCTTCGTAAAGTGTGGGCTGTACTTGTCAGAACAATTTTTTGTATCGCCTTGAGGCATGGACTTCAGGAATCCCTTCAATTAGTCTCTGCAATCTTTTCCAACCAGTCATAGGGCTCCAACTACAACAGGGATTGTTGATGTTCCCATATGCCACATTTTCGAGATTATTATTATTATTATTATTATTATTATTATTATTATTATTATTATTATTATTAGTAGTAGTAGTAGTAGTAACAACAATAGTTATTATCAATTTGGAGGTCATTTTTTTTTACCTCATTTTTTTTTGTGTTTTGCTTAATTGCTTTATAAATGATGATGACAGTAATTATTATTAATAATAGTAATGATGATGATAATTTTTCAGGAGAGTGTTGTTTAATCCCATCACCGAAAGAATAAAAAGATCAGGCAGTATATTCATTGGAAGATATGTGAATGTGCCACACGCCGAAAAATGGTATTAGCAACATTCTGAACCAGTTAAGGAAGGACGTGAGGTTACGATTCTTTCTTTCACGATCGTACTAACAGGTACATAAATACTAATTGACTACAGACCTAATGATTAAAAACTATAGAAAAAAAAATGACCATCTCATAGATATATGAGTGCCATCGGATAAAAATATATCTGTTAATGAATATTACAGAAGAGGTAAATATAAGAATATTGAAATTGAAACTTTAAAATTAAATGTAGCACCTTAAAAGTACTGTTATAATAATTGGATTGAAAGAGATACATATAAGAATATTAATACTAGGGGCCCCTATAAAGGGTTCATAAAACTGCTCATCTACTCAAGGAAAGTATTATCAATTTAAAGAAAATATAAACACTACATGTTAAGTATCACTTAACATCAAAATTTGGGTAAACAGAATGTAGATATTTACTATTTACCCAGGTCTTGGGTAATGGCTCGGTAAAGAATTTTATTAAAGAGAGAAAAGAAACAACAATAATAACATCTATCTATCTATCTATCTATCTATCTATCTATCTATCTATCTATCTATCTATCTATCTATCTATCTAGGTTTGTTCAAAT